CTTATCTAGCAGTAGCCCATCAGATCTGTAATTGAGCTTCTAGTATATGGTGAGAACTTTCCTTGCTGCTCTCAAGAAGGATCAGATATGGACTCACAGGCCCATTGTCCCACATCGCACATAATTTCCCTGCTGTTCTCAATTTCTATTTCTCTCTTTTTGAGTTTAAATATAAGTCTGTCTTTCTAAGCAATCTCTTTTGGTTGGTGGATAAAAGTGAGGTAGCACTAAAGGCATAACAGAGCCCCATTAAAGATGAACCCCAATGTCAGGGAAAGGTGCTCAAATTTCAGTTAACACCCTGAGGATGGAGAAGCTGATTTTGACCTGGAAGTTTGGTAGCCATTGAGGAACATTTGCTAACCTCACCCGCTCCTTTAAAAATGGATTTGTCTTGGGGCGCCTGGGTGGCGCAGTTGGTTGAGCATCCGACTTCAGCCAGGTCACGATCTCACGGTCCGTGAGTTCGAGCCCCGCGTCAGGCTCTGGGCTGATGGCTCAGAGCCTGGAGCCTGTTTCCGATTCTGTGTCTCCCTCTCTCTCTGCCCCTCCCCCGTTCATGCTCTGTCTCTCTCTGTCCCAAAAATAAATAAACGTTGAAAAAAAAAATTTTAAAAATGGATTTGTCTTGCTTATTAGGTCAGTAAATACTGTCACTGATTTTCAAAGAAATCTGGTAGCTGGGCTTTCATTCATTTTGATGAGCATACAACCTGAGGAATTCTTCACTGAAAGAAAAGCCAAGAAACTCTATTTACCTATAATTTTGGAAAATGATTTACCCCAAATTCGTAACCTCATAAAAGGGCATTCTGCTGCTGCTTCACCTAAAACAGTTTATCTTCTTATTGCTACCAAAGGCTTCCACTTTAACTTCAAACTATCAACTTTGCCCTTGGATTAAAAGTCAACTCCATGTTACCTAGTAAATAGTACAAAAGCCCTATTCCTTTCACATAGACAAGTAAAAAGAATAGACTTCATCTTTCCCCATGGATGTTAATATACTTAAGAAACTGCAAAATGTATTACTTAAGAAAACATTATTTCTTGGTGGTGGTTGGTGGGAGGGAGGTGGTCAAGGGGTGACGGGAGGGAGAAGGGTCTCTTTGAGGACTCTTTTTTTTTTTTTTTTTTTTTTGCTTCTTTTTCCACCCTTACATCCTAACAGCACGCACATTCGAAGCTGTATGAGCTTTTGTTTGTTTTCAAGAGATGTTTGAAAGAAGATCAAATGCCTGTGAAAGGCACTGGATCGGCAGCCCTAGAAACTGAAGTGTCCCGGAAGCTGTGTGAGCCCGGAAATATCCCACATTTCTATTTACTTTGGCAATTTTACTTAAAACTAGTAAGAGCTGAAGTTCATGCTACAATTAAATTTTCCTCAGGCACCATGAAATGAAAACACATATTACATTTGATTTTAACTGGTTGAGAAAAATGGTGGTTTTTTGAAAGTTCATTCTGTGACCTTGAAGTAAAAGTTAGCAGTTCCTCACATGGGAGAGCTGAGCTTCCATTTAAGTTGGAATTATTCATAGCACTGGTGTTCTCTGGGTTGGAAGGGCTCTTAGATCACTGAGTTCCCTTCTAGCATCTGCCTGAAACCCTACAATTCAGAAGTGCTGAAAATTCACCAGAAAGTGCTGGCAAAGTTGGCCTCGAAGGTTTTGGTGATACAAGACTCACTTCCACATGAAGAGATCTGTTTCTTTTTCAGATGGCTCGAATTTTCAGAACTAGGTAAAATAATATTAACTAAAACTCTAATAGTGATTACTATGTGCCAGGTACCATTTTAAGCAATATAAAAGTTTGTGCACACACATTCACATACATAATCTCAATAAATTCTCATAACTGTAGGAGACAGATTCAATCAGCACCATCATTTGACAGATGAGTAAAATAAGGCACAGGTAAATGACATGATTTGCCCAAAGCCACACCACCAGTAAGTGAGAATCAGGATTTGAACCCAGGCAGTGTTCTTAGCCAGGTATTCTTAACTACTATGTTTTATTGCCTCTTCAGTCCTTATAACTCTCCTTCATGCCTAGTACAGAGGATGGCACATTGTAGGTGCTCAATAAAAATATTTTTCAACAAATTTATTTCAGGATCATGATTTCTTATATCTTCCCATTTGTTTTACACACAGTCAATTTGCCCTAAGAGAAACAGTAGAATTTTAAAGGATGATCAATACTCTGCCTACTTCAAGAAAGCAGCAAGGAGAGAGATAGGTACATAACATTCACTATAAAGTACTACTTAGACAGTTGCCACCTTTAGCAGTAGGTCCATGAATGATGTCAATTTAAGCTATAGAGGGAAGTTCTAAACAGGCAAGACTTGGGTCAGTGCAACTGTTTGCTCTCCTTTTTTTACTGTGTCCTTGCCCTGCTATCCTATGCCAGGACAAGAGGAGTCATTTCATCTCAGCAATGCTACTCATTTTTATGGTCTTTCTCTTCCACTATTAAGCTGCATATAACAATTATTTGTCCGTCTATTTCATCCATCCATCCATCTAGCATTATATGCCATGTATCACTAGGTGCTTAGTATTGATACTAGAAAGGAGGAGATGGAAAGACTATAATAGATGCTTCCTGTTTACCTCGTTCATATTATTCAGAAATCATATGTTAGGAATTCAAGATGACTGCTTTAGAGTTGATAAAACCCATTCTAAGAAGAAGTGTATTATAAGCCATAGTGTGAGAGTTAAGCATTCTTTAACTAGAAAGTTCTATTCCTTTTTTTTTTCTTTTAAAGTCTTTGCCTTACTTCTTTTGAATGAAGTTTATCATAGAGGATAATTAATAGCTTATCCAAAGCCTTGAGTCATAATTGACATTTACTCAGTCAACAGTGAAATAGGGAAGAGAAAATCTCTAAGGAACATTTCCATAGGACACAAATCATTAATTCTTCTGAGGAACTTGAAGAGCCATCTGTGTTTGCAGGCTACTCTCAGGTGGTAGTCACAGTAAATATTGGCTTATGCCTGAGGCTGGTTCCAAAGCATGGATGTCTTAGCAGAAGAACTCAGCATCTCCTGAATAAGGTGGCTGGCTAGATGGGCCTAGGCACCAGCCTAGCTTTTGTCATTTCAGATCAGCCAGCTTTTTGTCACCACAGCAGAAGTGGCTTGGCTCCCATTTGGGGCTTTGACATGCTTCTGACTGGACATTTTCCTCCTGGGCTAAGTCTTGGGCATGGCCTTATATGTTTTGTTATGTTATGTTATGTTATGTTATGTTATGTTATGTTATGTTATGTTTATTATATAATCCTGGGTTTTCACTGGACCATAGAGGAAGAATGATCCTGAAGTAGAAATACAGCAGGGACATGAAGGACCAGGCAGAAAGTTTCCTTTATACCATGACATCTTCAAAGTAGGTTACTTGGATGAAATGCTTCACTTCTTGGTTTAGTCATCTTCTTACCCAAAGTCTCATTATTTGCTTGACTGACCACTTTTCTCTTATACCCTCTCTCAGCATTTATAATTCACAATTTGGATGATCTGGAGACTTTTTGCTTTATATCTATTAAGACTCTAACCCTACTAATTAAATCAGAGACGCTGAAGGAGAAGATTTACAAGACCTAAATTCTGTGATTCTACTTAGCTCTTTTTACCCTCAGGGAAATCCAACCCCTTGCTCTCATTCATGTTCTTCCTTCTGGTGGAAAAATATTGAATTAATGGAAGATTTCATCTGCCTATTTCTGCCCCATATTTTCCTTTTGGAATTCTTTCTTAGTCCATGTTGATTATGTGCTCTTCTCTGCTGGCCAGAAGGAGGGCAGCTTAGAACTCAAGTACGTCTTTACCCTTTTGTGGATCTCTGTATCCTTGTCTTTAAAATGAAAGGATTGAACCAACGAACTTCAGCTCTAAAGTAACACGGTCCTAGGGTTTCCATGGAACAGAAACTCATAGGATTTCATATATGAAAACCTAGATTTGTGCGTGTGTTTGTGTGTGTATGTGCGTGTGTGTGACAGAGACAGATAGACATACACACAGGTTTATAGGACATAGAATCAGAAGGCAGTAATCAGATGTTAGGAATCCGTTCTGGGCTGAATTGTGTCTCTCCTCAGCCATTCATATGTTAAAGTCCTGACTCCCAGTACCTAGAGTCCTGACTCCCAATACCTAAACTGTTTCCTATTTGGAGATACGGTATTTACAGAGGTAATTTAGTTAAAATGAGGTCAACACCTTCACCTGGACTTTCAGCTTCCAGAAATGTGTGAAAATATCTGTTGCTTAAGCCACCCAGTCTGTGGTGATTGTGATGGCAGCCCAAGCAGACCAATACATCTTTTATATCTGATTCCAAAGTGCAAAAAAAGAAAAGGTTCAATGACTCCTCTTGCAGGTTACCCCACAGGCCTCATAGGCCTTTAAGCAAATACTGGATGCCCTTTGGCCTCAACCTGGACTTGACTAAGAAATGCAGCCTCCAATGACACTGCAGGAAAGAAAATCTGGGAACTTCTATGACACAATTCAGTCTTGCTGAGAATTTTGGGCTAATATTTAACTCTGGACATATATTGACATGGGCAATTCTTCTATAATAGCTTCACACAAGATTTTAAAATACATGTAAAAGCCTTGAATTTTGTCTTAATTCTTTAACTCTCATTTGTTTTTGGGGGGAGGGGAATGTAGTGTCTTATTTGCCTTTTTTATAATTTTTGTTCTTTTTTCATTCTTGCCACTGTCTTTCTTTGGACTTCCTTGAGCATTACGTTTTTCTTTTCCATTGTCTCCATGTTTGTTATCCACATTCTACAACAGGTTACTTCTCTTCCTTCCATCACATTCATTATCTAGCTCCACCAGGCCTACTGTTCTTCATTCCTCTATAGCACTTCCCACTTTTCTTTATCGCTGTCTGCTTCTCTCTCATCGTCCTTGCCTCTGTCTGCTTAGTCCTTCTCTCCTCCATTTTCCTTTTTTGCCTCTGTGTTCAGTTTCTAGCTCCAGTCTCCCTTCTCTGCTCTTTCTTCTTTCCTTTCATCTGCTGACTTGCTTCTGTCCCCACCTTCTGCTCCCCTCCTGGGTGTTTCTTTGGCCCACCTTTCCTTCTCCTCTGAGACTTCGTTTTCTTGGTGGTAGATGGGGGATGATACTGTAAACATCACAAAAATAATTGCATTGAGAACAGGTGGTTCCCTTGGTGTCCCAGAAGACAGAGCCTTTGAGTCAGCCCAGAATGCCCGGGATCCATGTGGCACAGGAGACAGCACTGGTGCTGGAGGGATGTCTAGGCCTCAGTCACAAGAACCAAGCTTCTAGAACTTTGGGACTGATCTCTAATCCCCGCCCCCTCCCCAACTAGAAATTGAGAGGCACTGAGCCACCTAGGAAGAGAAAGAATTAACCTGTCTTTGTCCCCGCAAGCACACTTCTCAGTCACATTCTCCTGAGTTACTTCTGTGGTGCTTCCTCCCTGACTCACCCATTGGCTACTGTGTTCTCTCTGCACCAGACTGTGCCCAGTCCCTTTCCATCATTCAAGCTGGCTCCCTGGGGTCACATCTCTGCTAAGCTCCCTGGTCCTCCTCTAGGCTCAGCTGCAGTTTAGGACCAGGAAGCAGTAAATGTGTCATTGTGAACTTCTTGGTTTCTCTTCTTATGCTTTCTGCACAATGCTAGTTTGGCCTCCAAAGAGTAAAACCACAGTTTTTTTTTGTTTGGGTTTTTGGTTTTTGGTTTTTTAAATAGTGCCCCCAAGGAGACCCTAATGAGAGCTTTTCTTTCCTTACTCACCCATCCTCACTTTATTTTTTTCTCCTTCACCTACCACCTGCTCTTTAGTTCTCATTCTTTCTACTTAGTTACTAGAATTTAATCACTTCTACTCATTTCTTCACCCATTCAACAAAATTTATCAAGTGGCTAATGTGTATTAGATGATTTATGTTGCTTTGGATGGCATAAATAGTACCTCTGAGGTTTGTTTGAAGTCTAGTTCATAGAAAAAGACATCTACAGATTTTGATCATTAGAAATTTCTAGGTGTTCTGAGAACCAAACAGAAATTTCTGTTTTTAATATATTTTTCTTTAATCAGGTTTGCCATTGAATGTGAGTTTCAAATACTTCCCATTTTAGCACATTTTTTTTCTTTGCACCTTTGCAGAATACCAGGACTTGAAAAGTTATGTGCTTTGTTATTAATTTTAACTATGACAGACGCTAACACTTGTCCAACAGTTACTTTGTGCAGAACGTGAAAAGAATTGCATGTGTATTTATTAATTCTTAAAACGACCTGATGCAGTAGGTATTGTATCAGTTTTACCGATGAAACTAACGCTTGGATAGGTTATGTTATTTGGCCACGGGCTCTCAGCTGGTGACTGGTGAAGCTAGGACTTCAGTTTTATCTGATACCAAAGCTCACATTTAGTGACTGTTCTCCATTGTCTTCCAGTATCAGACTGTCCAGAGCAGCGAAAAGGAGACTTTGCAATGTGGAGTGACCAAAGGGATGGACATCTGAGGTGAGAATGGTGGTTTTTTGACATGGAAGCCAGGAGACTATGGGACATAGTTTCTGTTTGGTCTACCCACAGGCATAAGATACCTCAGTCTCTTGAGGATGTTGGATCCCTCCCCACCAGCTGCCTTACCTTCTGAGCCTTGGGCATGTCAGTGTGGCGCTGAGCACGGACTGAGCGGGCAGACTTGGCAGGCTTGAGGGGTGCACAGTACATCTCTAGCCGCCTCAGATCACAGCTCCGGAAGCAGCACTCATCCACGATGCCTGTCTGGGGTGCCCTCCGACTGCTGGAGCCATACCCCGTGGGCTTGTCTGTACAAATCAAACAGAGGGGCCTGGCTTTAGAGGGGAATCAGCTATCTTCACAGTTCCACCCAGCCCCTGGAGCCTCTCCTCTCCCCACACCTGGTCAACCTACACACCTCAACCTCTTCCTGAAGCTTCCCCAACAATTCCTGATCCCACAGATTCTTCTGGATCACAGTGTGTCTCTAGACTCTGCATTACACTCCTTAGCACTAACTCATGCACCATGCAGTTTATTTTTGTTAATTCTCAAGTTCTCAGAAGCCTGTAGTCAAGGATCTTATCTATGCCCAAACCCAGTCTTTCCTTATATATTCCCTTAGTTTGGAGGCTGCTAGGAATATTAATTAAAGGAAGATCATGTTTCAAGTTTTCTTCATCTTTTTAGCAAATTTGCATAGTTTTTATGCACAGGATGGCTCAAGTGTTTACTCTTTTGCTTAACTGCTTCCATTGTAACATCAAATTGAGTTTCAAAGGGCTCCTCATTTTACTGATGTTGCTTAAGGTCATTCATGCAGTAAGGGATGGAGCCAGGGCTCAAACTCAGATCTATTCCCTGCAAAGTTCAAGTTCCTCAGACAGCCCAGGAGATCTGTTGAGTAGCTATGGACAAGACACTTAAGCCTCCTGAGGCCTAGTTTACCCATTTGTAAAGTAGGTTTAATATATTCCTTATAAGGTTCTTTAAGGATTACGTGAAAAAATGCACTAAAGGTGCTTAGAACACCCCCTGACATATAGCAGGTCCTAAATAAATATTGGTTCACCTTCTATGAGTATCCTTTTCCAGGATCTTATATGGTCTCTGAAGAAACAGCTTTTGTATTAACTGCATCCAGAAGCCTTGGAACTTGGAATTGGTAGCAATATTAGTGTTACAGGGCTTCCTCTCCTTTCACCCTAGAGAGACCAGAGCAATCAATTCTGTTTTCTTATAGAATAACTACTACACTGAGACAGAATGAACTAAGTGGCCATCTTTCATGTGATTCTAATTGCCCAGAGGGCATATGATGAATCAAATTTCTTTTGATATTTACAAATCAATTAGACCTCTTTACTTGGCAAGTAGGTTTTGGTTTAGTTTTATTTTGTTTTGTTTTGATTTGGACACACTTTTCCTGGCTCTACAACTAAAAGAGAGGGCAAAACAAGCTTACAGGAACTTAAAATGTACCTGAATTCTTTGTAAACTGTTTGTCACAGTAGAACTTCTGTTAAATCAAATATTGCTTATATACCAATAGATAAAACAGACAAAAGTGAAACTGCTCTGGCTTGGGCAAAGGCAGGGGGACAGGATCTTGGCTTTCTCTCCTCCCAAGGGAGGTAGGGGGCCTGGGTCTTCTGCACTGATATCCAGGCTTCATGGAAGAAAATTTGTGAACCACTGATCCAGAAGAATCCAACTCATCAATCTGGCATTTATTTGATCTTTATTCCTGACAGAGAAGATAATGTTATATTTTAAATAAAAAGTCTTAGGTTTGTATCATAATGACACCATTCTTCAGAATGGAGTTTTGAAAGTCAAAATCCTCATGTATATTTTGAACTCCCTCGTTAGGGAAGATCAGACCCATGGTAATGGCCTGCTACCAAACTAGTCTGGCTGCCTTGCTGCTTGAAGGGCCAACCATTCATGGCATCCTCTACAAACCCAAATGTTTTCCTGATGTTTGGCACAGGAGCCTGGGGATGCTTCCTCCCTGTAAGACAGGTTTATTGTCATACTTAGGGCAGCTAGGGGGTAGTAACTCAGTGAGGGTTCATTTGTGGTCTCTTTGGGTGGGGTCTGCTTTCTTGCTTAGGGGCAAACCCTGTGGGTGCCTCATGGTTGAGAGGTTTGGGAGGGACCAGTCAGCTGGCCCCACATGAGGCCTCAGCAGTGCTTTCACTTGCCATTGGAGGATCTACCAGTGCAGAAGACTTGTTCTTCTTGCCAGCCGGGCCCTGGCAAGCTGAGACTTGACCAGTCCCTTGGGCAATGTAAACAATATTTTTTGTTTTTTGTTTTTGGTTTTTATAATCTTTTCCTGGGACTATAAATTAGAGGAAAGACACAAATGAGCTTACATGGTTCTTTGTAATCCACAAAGGACTTCTACATACTTCTTGCTAAGTGGTTATTTCAAGAGATTGAAGGGGTCAGCCAGTTGAGAGTAGCTGATACACTTTGGTTTTTCTCTTAGGGTGAAGGAGAAAGTGACTCAGCCTACCTTGAGGTATCCCTGTTGTCCATCACGGGTAATGATTGCTCTTTGTCAAAAGTATACATTTCTTAATGAGACATAATTGGGATTTGTTTGTTGTGTAGTATAGAATAGTAATCTGATGCTTGGAGGTAGGGTGGTAAAGGTGATTCCAAAAACCTTCAAACTTGGCTAATTCAGAAACAACTGATTTCAAAATTCATCCTTGTGGGTTGAATATGGAGAGGGATAGGCTTTGCAATGCCTGGACCTCTTTAGCATTTCCATTTCATGCATTTCTAATATAATGTTCCTTCTAGAGGAAGACACCAACCTTAATCTTGGGAAGGCAGAAAACACTGTATGTATTGCATACTCCCTTCTTGGAGATTCTCAATAGCCATGAAACTCACCACAGGTCTATTTCCCCTTATGAAATAGAAAGTAATCATCAACATAGCAAAAATAATAACACATACTGGGCATGTGCTTTGTCACCTCTCTTAGCTGATCTCAGAGTTTGACATGGCTCAGTTCTATAAAATAGCTGTGCTTCTAGGTCAATGAATTTAGGAACAGAAATTTAGGACTTTTCTGTAATGCTCCATAAAGAAAATTGACCTTATGTCCATATTTGTTTGGCTTTTTTTTTTAATGTTGTTGAAATGGTGGTATAAAAACTTGGATTTTTATCATAAATGTAACTACTGGTTGTCTTTAGCTACCATAATTCTAGAGAGATGATTTTCTTTGACTATTCATAATATTACAATGGACTAATTGTACTTCATTTGGAATATATGAATATAATAAGTGTTTAGTTATGACCTTTTGAAATTTAATTCATCCTTTGAAGTATGCTATAGGCTTGATTTCTGGTTCTATATCAAGATATGTAACAAAAAAAACACATTTCTCACTAATTGAGAGGCCATAGTTGAGGGTCAAAGTTTTGTCCTTTATCTTTCAAATACCTCATATTACTTCTTTTTCTTTTTTAATTGAAGTATCATTGACATACACTATTATATTAGTTCCAGGTGTACAACATAGTGATTCAACATTATACATTATGAAATGATCATCATGATAAATCTAGCTATCATCTGTCACCATACAAAGTTTTACAATATTATTAACTATTACCTCTGTTGCACATTGCATCCCCGTTTCTCATTTATTTTATAACTGGAAGTTTGTACCTTTTAATCCCCTTCCCTATGTTGCCCATCCCTCACCCTCTCCCCTCTGGCAACTACCAGATTGTTTTCTGTATCTGTGAGTCAGTTTCTATTTTGATTTGTTTGTTCATTTGTTTTTTTAGATTCCACATATAAGTGAAATCGTATGTTATCTGTCTTTCTCAATCTAACTTATTTCACTTAGTGTGATACTTCTAGGTCCATTCGTGTTGTTACAAAGGGCAAAATTCCACTGTTTTTTTATGGTTGAGTCATATTCCATTGTATATACTATATACTACATCTTGTGTATTCATTCCTCTATTGATGGACACTTAGGTTGCTTCCATATCTTGCCCATTGTAAATAATGTTGCAGTGAACATAGAGGGGCATAAATCTTTTCAAATTAGCGTTTCATTCTTTTCAGATAAATACCCAGAAGTGGAATTGCTGGATTATATGAAAATTAAATTTTTAATTTTTTAAGAAACCTCCATACAGTTTTCCATAGTGGCTGTACCATTTTGCATTCCCACTACAAGTATACTCATATTGCTTTTTTTCTAACACCAAAGTAAAAGGGTGCCTGGGTGGCTCAGTCGGTTGGGTGTCCAACTCTTGACTTTGGCTCATGTCATGATCCCAGGGTCTTGGGCTTGGATCCCAAGTCCCGTGTTGGGTTCCACGCTGAGCATGCAGCCTGCTTAAGATTCTCTCTCTCTCTCCCCCTCTGCCCCTTGCCCCCATTTGTGCTCTTTCTCTAAAAAACAAACAAAACAAAAAATAATGATATTTGTTGGTATGGTCAAAACTAGAAGTCTGAAACTATGTGGTTTACTAAGAAGGCAGTAAAATAATTTGCTCCAGTATAAATTTTGAGAAAAAATAGGGATTTTTAAATGACATCTAAATTACAGCTATTGTTATTATGATTAATTTTTAAATGAGATGGAATGAATTGTTCTATCTTTACCTTTAAAAACTCATTAGTAGGGTGCTTGGGTGGCTCAGTTGGTTAAGCATCCCACTCTTGATTTTGGCTGAGGCCATGATCTCATGGTTTCATGAGTTTGTGCTCTAGCTCAGGCTCTGTGCTGACCCTGCAGAGCCTGTTTGGGATTCTCTCTCTTTCTCTCTGCCCCTTCAAGCTCATGCTCTGTCTCTCTCAAAATAAATAAACTTTAAAAAAATAAAAGCTCCTCATTAGTAACTATGTAATTCTACTGCAGTGGGCAGAGTCAGAATTGGTAGGTGAACAGGAAACAATATTGCCTTAGTATAAGAAAAAAACCAGCAATTTGTGTTCAAAAGTATTAAAAATGGGACAAACTTCTTTTAAAAGTAATGACCTTCCCATTTCTAGAAACAGTTAAGTAAAGGCCGTCTGAACACTTGCCAGAGATCCTAGGAGCATACTCCTGTATTGTACACAACATATGACTGCCATGGTCCTATTTCAAAGATTCTCTAACAAGTAAAGAAATGTAGGAGAAAACCCTTCTAGGCCAAATATTCAATATAGTTGGAAGCTACTTACATTATCTTCAAAAAAGAGGTTCAAATATTTTTTAACTTAGAAAGCAAAAATATTTTTTCTATTTATCACTTGAGTTCCCCAAGAGTCTTAA